GTATATTATTAATCATGTTAATTAAAACTTTCCGTGCGATTGCATATATTGTTTTGTTTATATTGTTTGTTTTGTCCAATTTTGTTAAACGATTCATACCAGAAAAATGGAACGGTAGATCAATATTGAAGAATCAATTGTTTCTTTCCTTTCCAGATGGCACCCTTGCACTCTTTGCTTCCATTGGCTATTTTCGTTTGGCTCCAGGCCTCCTTTCCATGTCACGGCAGTCAGGTGCAGCTAAATTCAAATTCAAACTCCCCGGATGTTAGCTACGTAATTCTTATCGACGCTGGCTCTACTGGAAGTAGAATGTATATCTACAAATTCCACTTGAACAAACAGGAAAAACTAGAGAGTGTGTCAGATGTTGAGGAAGTGGACAACTCGCTTGGTAAAGTCAAACCTGGCCTGTCCTCGCTGAATAAATTGGATGGAATTTCAGAATACCTGGAAAAATTCATCACGGCGGCAGCAAGAATCATTCCTGAAGATAAACAGACTTCAACGCCTTTTCTTTTGCTGGCAACCGCTGGGATGCGTCTGCTAACCGAGGCGGATCAAGTAGCCATTATGAACTATGTGAAACAGGTCTTGAGTAGTGATCGCTCACCATTCCTCTTCAAAGAGGACTACGTGCAAATCATTTCAGGCAAAGAGGAAGCCATATACGCTTGGATTACAGTGAATTTCATCCAGGGAGTGTTAACCTCGAAAAGATGGACCCCATCATGGGGTGTGTTGGACATGGGCGGGGCCTCTACCCAAACCTCAATGCGCCTTCCCAGAAAATCTGAGCTCGCCACCATCCTGAAACTGGGAAAAAAGAATTACAAATTGTTCGCTAAAAGCTACTTAGATATGGGATTGGCTAGGATTCACGATCGCTTCTTGGAGTTTTTGGACGAGTGGGAAGACAAAACAGTTGATGATAAAGGATACATCAAAAGCCCTTGTCACCACAAAGGCTTTAGCGAGACCTTGAACGTTGGGGGCCAGGAGATGAGTATCACTGGGGAGCCTGACTCGGCGATGTGCCGGAGGCTCATCGACGATATGGTGTTCTGTGCGAATAAACATCCAAACCAGGAATGTCCCTTTGATGACCAACCGAAGCTCAATGGAAAATTTGTTGCATTCTCTGCTTTTTACACAATAATTGAGCGTATAGGCGCAGTAATTTGTGAAGATAAGCCCGTTAGTATTGAGCAAATCGGCTGCGCTGCGAAAAAGTTTTGCTCCAAGCCATACAATGTTGTGAAACCCATCGACGAAGGCTATGTTAAATTTTCATGTCTGTGGGGAAACTATGTGTACGAACTTTTGCAAAAGGGTTACAAGATGCCTGCGAACAAGAAAATTTTTGTCGAGAAGGAGCTTAAAGGTTTCTCGCTAAGCTGGATCATGGGCGCTGTTTTGTACAAAACTGACCTACTGTGATAGCCTACAGAACGTCAAAAGCATAATGCATGTAAGCCTTCATTAACTGTCATGAAAAAGTTGTTGTGAATCGCAAACGTACGATTTCCATTAAAAAATATTTGACTGAATACTTGACCAGCGTCATCTTTGACTCTGATATGTTTCCTGTTTATAACTTGATCATGGTTGCGGAAAATATGGTGGAAAGTGGTAACGTTTTAAGGGCGGATCCAGGACTATTTGATTGGGGGGTGGTTACTTCTAGACCATTCCATGCACACCCCTCCCCCTGCTCCTTCACTTTCCTTTACAAACACGAACCCGCTCATGAACAGGAAAACGCATGCACTCGCACTCAAAATCACAAAAATTTAGCCATTTGATTACTAATACGCGATCCTATTGTGGGCTTGTGGCAATAATTTGGAATTTTTAGATAATAGATAAGCTACAAAA